AGCAAAGTTAGTACCAATAGGCTCCTGGGCTTCCTCCTGTGCGAAGATCTCCTCCTCGTATTCCTCGATAACCTCGTCGTACTCCGGTTTGGCTACTGACACGAAGTCTACCAGTTCGTGATCTACATGAAATGATGATGCAATGTTTAATAATATAACAACAGCAGCTTTTAAAATGGGAGTACATCGATTTACTACTAAGCTAGGGCTATCGACCACGGTGCTAAATTATGTACTGCTATCGACAACAAGTATCAAGTGAGGCATTCATCGTTATTCCAGCAACTATCGGTATTTTCACTCCTAACGCCGACTTACGCTACATTCCAATAAACAAGGGCAATAGCTACTTTATTTCAACAATGCCTCTAATGCTAAAATTACAGCGAGCACGTAATATCCTCGGGAACCTACTGTAAATTTTTCAAAGCTAACACTATTACTGATTTGCCACAAGAATTCCTACAAATATCCATCTACCTAATACTATGTTGTCTAATTATAATTTATGAACCCATGATCATAACAGCTAACTGTGAACTAACTACACTAACAGATAGATGGTATTTTTGTGAACCTAACAAAATTAGTTTCACTATTTTTGGACAACTACGCAATTTACTACGAATTATCGAAGTTCAGTCCATTACCAAAATAAATAAACAATTCTAATTTACTGGAATTGAGGAAACCGAAATCTAGCCCCGCGGCCCAACATGCGCTGGTTCAGCCCATCCCTTCCCCCTGCAGCGTCAGAACACATCACAGGGTGGCCATTGGCGGCGCTGCCCAATGGCCAACGGCCCGAGATGGGGGAAAGGCCTGCACGCGAAGGCAAATATGCACAGGCACCCCTGAAGCACTACGTAATCCCAGCGAGCCCTCGGACACTATTCAACCAGTCTAACGTTTTACAGCTGTACCCTCCGCTTTCTCATCCTTCACCGCGGCGAAGTCCCTCCCAACACCCATGCGCGCACAGGCACGACAGCGCGGCACCGGGTGGTCACGACGGCATCACCTGAACCCCTACTACCTAACTAAGAGGCCGATGACTACCTTGGGGGCAAAACGCAGCGACCGGAGGCTTCACGGCGAACAAAGGCGTCGTGCCGAGCCCCCTCCCCGACGGTGGTCCTTCTCCTACAATGGCGAACGCGTTCCCGTGAGTGACAGCGAATACGGAGCAAGGGACGAAGCTAGCAAGCTCCAGGGACTACCCAAGGGTACCTGCGCATTGACGGTATGACCGGAAGTGGCCCGAGCAGAGCCGGCCACGTGCACACCGACGCTGCGGCGCCCGGCGATTGCACGGCTGCGGCGGTGGTGGCTGGCCTGCTATAAAGTCACGGATGTGGTGCGCGGGGTGCTCAGGAGGGTAAGGTCGGGCTAGGGGTGCACTGATTGCTACAAGATGCTCGGAGTGGCTGGCTTGCCGTCGGGGCATCTGTCAGGTCTTAAGGACCCGGTGGCGCGGTGATTTGAAATTAAGGCACAGTGAGGCGAGAACGCAGCGGCACAGTGGAATAGGTTGGGCAGCCGGATACCTAACGGGTCTGAGGACATGATCAATTTTGTTAGGGTACTACGGTTGCGGTGAATTGGGGGGGGGGAAAGAGGTCCCACCGGTCATGGCTACAGCGAGGACCGGGGCTCTGGTGCGGCTTGGCTCGGACCTGCTGTGGATGTCAAAGCAATTACTAGCATGCACAACTATGGGGTAGCAGCAGGACGTGGATCCAGGCGCCAGCCAGCACGGTGCGGCTGCAAGCCGACGAGGCAACGGCACGGCGACGCAGCGGGCAGCGTCCGACAAGGGACACAGCGCGATTGTGATGCCAAGGTGACGGCGAGGTAGGCTGTCGCCCTTCGCATGAGCAGCCAAAGCGATGTCAACGGGCGTAGAATCGGCGTGGCGACGGGCGGCGTGTAGCGCGAGCCCGAGCAGCTCCCCCAAAAAGCGGTCAGAGCGGGGGCATGGCACGGCAGAGTTGGTCGGCGGCAGGCACGGCACGCAATATAACGGCCGACAAAAAGGTGACCCGTGCGCCCGATGGGGCAACAAACGGCAAGGCCAAAAATCTGCGGTCGGTAGCGCGTTAGCGTCACGGCGGCACGAGGACGAGGATTGCGCTCGTAGTAGGGGGTACAAACGGTCGAGAGAGGGACAGGTCCCAAGTCTCAGATGAAAAGGTCGAACGGGTACTGAGAGCCTTGAAGCTACTCAGCTATGTGTGAAGTGGTGCATGATGTGTTGAATCGATCGATCTCTCTAGTGGGGTATCCTGCCTTCCCTTTTATAGACTAAGGGAAAGCAGGGATTACAAACAGGAGAAGGGAGAAAAATCAGAGGCCAAGAAAGTCCACCGGGGATGCCGGGTCTTCCTTTTCCTCTGTGCAGGTCCTACTGTCATGGCAGGCGGTGGCAGGGGCAGTCCCATGCCGGGCGCCTGTCTGCTGATGATGGCGTTTGTTGGCGTCGTCAGCAAGTGGTCACGTCCCATCTCGCCCCGGCGGGCCGCGCGACGTACCAAGGTGTTGATCCATGACCCTTCGAGGAGCAGACGGTGCAGTGACCGCACGTTCGCTACTGTAGATGATGTGAGCTCCTTGGACCGTAGTCGTTGTCGTATGCTTCCGTCAGGATCCGTGCCCGAGGGCAAATGGCCGCGCCTACAACACTATTCGATAAATGTTGGCGCCTACAATACTGTTCGGGCTCTGACATGCCTGGAAGGGCTTAAAGCACCCGTCTTGTCATATCCTAATGGTACTTCCCTGCGGACGTGCAGGGTACGGTCCTCGGTATTGCGGTTGACTTGAGTGCCCCGCCTTATCTACGCGCGTAGTTATGAAGGGGCGGCGCGCAATCGTCGGGTGAGGCGGAGTCTGCCCTGGGACGTCGGGCGAGGCGGAGCCAGTGCTTAGCCGTCGGGCGGGGCAGAGTCTGCCCTGGGATGTCGGGTGAGGCGAAGTTTGTCCTCGGACGTCGAGCGAGGCGGAGCTAGTGCTCAGCCGTTGGGCGGGGCGGAGCCTGCCCCGGGACGTCGGGCGGGGCAGAGTCTATCTTAGGACATCGGGCGAGGCGGAGTTTGTCCTCAGACGTCGGGCGAGGCGGAGTCTGCCCCGGGACGTCAGGCGGGGCGGAGTCTATCCCAGGACGTCGGGCAAGGCAAAGTTTGTCCTCGGACGTCGGGCGAGGCGGAGCCAGCCCAGCCCTCGGGGGTCGAGCGAGGTAGAGCCAGCCCTCAGGGGTCGGGCGAGGCAGAGCCAACCTTCGGTCATTGGGCAAGAAGTGTAGTCGTGTTCTCGTCTATTCGGAACCATCAACGCTTGATGGTTTTTAGCTCCTCCTCTTTGGGTACCACAGTATTCGGTCCCCGACAGTTATCTAGTCATGTTCGTTTAGGACTCTTATCAGCCCAGGGTATAAATATAAACCCTCGGCTATTGTAACATAGACACACATCAATCAAAATCAGTCTTTACTTTTTCATCTTCATGCCAACCCTTAGGAGTAGGAGTAATGTAGATCTCGACGAGTTCTTCAACAAGCAGGGCTGCATCGATCCGGTCGACCTCCGGTTTGTCTGTAAGTACCATCATGACTTATACTTTTATTTGTAAGGCTGTATCAGTCCGACCGACCTCTTACGAGCTCTAGTATAAGTTAGTTATCGATCCTTATCTAGTTCAAGTATGGCTGCATTGGTTAAGTTCGACCTCCACTGCTCAAATTAGATTAAGGTTAAGTTATCGGCTCTACCTAAGGGTGGCATCCTTCGGGTAGATTCATTAAGTTACCAATCTTGCTGATGTTCTTGTTGTTATTAGTTTCAGCAATATCAACCTGTCCGATCTAGATCGGCTTATAGTGTGTCTTCGTGATTCTGTTAAATGTGAATAGATCTGTTTATTTTAAAGGTTTGATCTGTTATCTTTATCATGACTGCCATCGATCCGGTCGAACCCCACTGTTAAAGATAATATATTAGATTTGATGAGTTTATAAATCTGTTCATATTAAATAGTAGATTGTTCATACGCTATAATCTTTTTTCTACCTGAATCGGCTATTTTAGTCGATTTGCCTGTGTTTTCACACATATAGCATGTTTTTCATAAACCTGTCAATATATAGATGGTTTTATAGATTCTTTGACTTTAGTTTGTTATCATTATCATAGTTGTATCTATCCGATCGAACCTCACTGTTGATGGTAACAGATTAGATTTAGAGCATTTGTAGATTCATTTGTACTAGACAGTCGATTTGTTCGCATGTTATATCCTTTCTCGTTGAACTTATCGGCTCAATGCTTTACATTGGTTATATCCATCTGTTGATGATGTTTCTTTATATTACTTATATTTGGGTGTATAATGCTTGTTATGTCTGGATTAATCAGTCATAATAAATCACTATAATCCATGAGTATCGGTTATTTTGAATTCGTACCATCATTATTGATATTAGCCGATAATCTTCAATTCAGCGATCCTTGCTTTACTGATATGCTGGATATCGACTATTTAGTCGATAGCCCCATTGAATCGGCTATCTAGCCACATATCAGAACTGTCTGGTGCAACATCGGCATGTTCCACCTTAAATTACTAATTATTTTTTCCTTGTCAATTGCAGGGTCAAATTGACTGACACGCCTTCGGTCCCGAAACCGACCGATCGTGTGTTTGAAGCCAAGCGGATCTTCGGGCTTACTCCAAGCAGATCTTTTCGGCTTGCTGTGTGTTGATCACATCGCCATATTTTTGTGTCAACAACTATACATATCTAGCTAAGTGCAAAACTAACTGCAAAACTATACATAATTTATATTTACTAACTTCACTAAATATCTTTGCTAACTAATTATATAAATCTCTATCTGGTCAAACTAAATTTGAATCCTAACCCTACAAAAAAAATTGACAAAGATGTAGAAGAGCATTACCTCAACAAAGATTATGGGTCACCACAATCCACCAATAGAAAGGAGATGGCCGCCGGCTGGCAGCGGCCTACTTCTGGAGGGCGGCGGCAATGGTCGGCCGGCCGGCGGCAATCCCCCTTCTGGAGGACGATGATGGGCAACGCAACAAAGTCCTTCACAGCTCGAGACAGTGCGGAGAGATGGAGGGGCGGCGACGAGGACGGGCGGCGCGCGGCAGTGGGGAGATGGAGGGGCGGCGATGGCAGTAAGGGAGGCAAAGAGACAGGGGGAGATGGAGATGGAGCGAGGGAGGACGGGCACACGGCGGCGGGCGCGGCGGCCGAGAGCGCCGGGAGGGGCGCAGCGGGTGTGGCAGGCGCGGCTGGCGTGGCGGGCGTGGCGTGGCGTGGCGTGGCGGCGGCGCGGCGGGTGGGAGTAACTTCCTAGTGCTCTGTCAAATTGTGAAGCCTCGCCGCGCCACGATGCACGGCGCATCGGCCCTGCCATGTCATCGGTCGGCGCGGCCGTTGACCGCCCCATGCCGCGCAGCGATGTATGACGCGGCAGCGTGAATTTGACGTGCCATGCAAACAGGCGCGTCCAAAAGTGTTACTTTTGAAGAAAAAAAAACAAAAAGTGTTAGAATTAAAAATAGTTTAAAAAAGTGTTAAAATAAAAAAAATGCACGAAGGGCCAGGTTCCGCTGGCGACCAAAAACTTTTTCTCATTCTGTAATTTCTGTGGCCTGGACGAGTACTAGTATTTTTCTAGGAAAAAAAAACATTCTCTCTTTTTTTTTCTATAGAGAAGGCAGGATTGGGATAATGTGCGGTGGTCCTATATTGTTCCGAGTTTTGACTGTCTCCTGTAGCTGCAGATCCAAGGACGGTCGTGTTCACTTCATCCGCTGCGGCAGAGAGCAAGGAAGGCCGCCACTTTTCCGTGTCTGTCTCCTCTCCTCAGTCCTCTCGTCGTCTCGCCTCCACGCCTCCACGCCTCCCCGCCTGGCCTTGGCCCTTGGGCCTGCCGTGGGCCCCACGCCGTGCTTCTTGCCACTGTCATGTGGGGCAGTCCATTTTGTAGGGAACACTTGTCATGTCAGGCGCCTTGGCGTGAGTTGGCATAGCAAGAGCGGAAGAGGAGGAGGCTCAAAAAGTTTTTGTGGACTGACGACGACGTGGTGGTGAGTGAGTGGTGAACAAGCTCCCTTCTCGTTCTCGCGTCTCGCTCTCGCCCTCACTCTCTTTTCAGAGAGGCTTTGCAGTTTTCACTCCAGAGTCCAGACTGATTTCTCAGGTGAGCACGCTCGTGCGGTTTCTGAATACAGATTTCTAGTATTTGATTCTTTCCTCTGCTGCCTTAATCTTCCCTCTGATGGCCCAAATGGTTGGAGTCGAATGGCTCAAGGCTGGATCCCTTTGATTTCTTCTTTTTCCGGGATTTGGTTAAAAGGTTTTCAGATGAACGGAGTTCTCAGGTTTCATAACGAACATCATTTTCCCCTTTAGACGCCATGCGGAAAAAGCATCAACGAAATCATGTGTATATCTTTCTTTCGGCTCGTTGTTGGCCGTGGTGGAACGCACTACGAATCCATATTTCTTCAGTCTCGCAGAGATTCTCAGAATCATATACTAGTTTCGTTTAGTCTTGGAAGGAGAAAATGAAGTGGCTGGCAGCATATTAGCTGCTTTAAAGAACAGTGCAAATAACCAGCACAGAGGTAATATCAAATACCGTATTTAGAACGAATTTATTCGCCTTTACTTTTGCTCTCTCTCTTGTGGTAGTTATTTATTTCAGCTGTACGGTTTGAGTAACTCATGTAATTTTCAGTTAGCATTTTCCCCCTTGCGCAGTCAAAGGCCAGGTAGTTGATGGAATGCCTTGAGTTTGATTCTTCTGATTTCTTCCTGGACGGAGATGCGATCGACTGCCCTCTGGAAATCCATCTTGAGTCCAATAGTTCGGCAGGCGCCAAAGCTGCGCCGGATCATAGCCGGAATGCTCAGCTTCATCGCAGCAATGCCCCTGATCCACCACCCTTGCCTGGAACCTCTTATGACGCGCGGAGAAGTTCTAGGAAGGCAAAGGCTTGTCGCCGTGTTCCTGAAGGCGTCGTCGATTCCTGGGACAAGCTGTTCTTGCAGGGATACCAATCTGATCTCCGTGTTTCGACAGACGACGGCACTGAAATTCTGTCGCATTCCTGTGTTCTTGTGAGTGCAGCTCTCTGAATCTTTTCCTGTGATTGGCCCTCGTGTTCCTGGAACATAGCAGCTTTGGCCCTTATGTAGGAAATTCGTATTTTTCCTCCTCTGCAGGGTGTCCAATCTCCTGTTCTGAGAGCTATGTTGGAGGAAGCTAAATTGAAAGATGGTTTTCGGTGTGTCCGTATTTCTGGCGCGCCTTCAGAAGCAGTCCGTGTTTTCATCAGATTTCTTTACTCTTCACGGTATGGTTGGTATTTAGTCATTTGTATAGATAATTCATTCACTGCTCTCTAAAAGATCATCTTTCGGCCCAAACAGTTTCCAGTGACTGAACCTGGAGACTGCAGATTGTTTTCCTCTGATGCGTGCAAATTTCAGTAAGAAACAAACGCTCTGATTTATGGTTTTTCTTTTCTTTGGTGAAGTTTTGAGCAGGAACAGATGAAGAAGCACGTTCTGCATTTGCTTGTACTCTCCCATGTTTTCTCGGTGCCATCTCTGAAGATTGTCTGCATCGACCAACTCGAGAGGAGTTTCCTTGCTCCTGACAACGTGGTAGACATGCTGCAACTTGCCAGATTGTGTGATGCGCCCCGGCTCTCGCTTGTCTGTACCCGGATGATCATTGGGGATTTCAAGACCATCTCTCTGACGGATGGGTGGAAAGTAATGAGACGGGTCAATCCGAGTATGGAACAGGAGCTGCTCGAGTCTCTTGTCGAAGCTGATACAGTGAGTTCTCTGTAATGATTATTTTTTTAGAAAGGGATCTCTGTAATGATTATCTTAGTATAGTTTGATCACATCCAATCCTGCCTTGCTATTTCTTAGTATTCAGTAGCTACAAGAGAAGGAAGGGAAATGCCCTTAGTGATTCAGAGTTTCAGTCTGTCTGCTCAGAGTCTCAGCCTGTTCAATTCATAGTCTGCCTGTTTTCCAGGGACTGGACTGGATGTTCTCTAACCAATGCTTTAACTGTGCATCTTTGATGTGTTACTGCTTTGTATCTACTAGACTGTCTCCAATCGGTGGCGCACAGTACCTTTGCATGTCAAAATCGCGCTCCAACCGAACACCCATACCAGCAACCCATTTTGCGTCCGACGCCGGCAAGAACGCAAAAAAGCGTCGTCCAGGAGAGATGACGCAAAAGGGGAGGGGGCGCTCGCCACCCCGTCCACGCCATGCGTCCAGGCGGCCTGCCGACCCAGCAGCAGCCCGGCACGCCGAGCCGCGCGCGCCGCCGCCCGGATCTCACCCTCCCCATGCCCCAGCGCGAGGTCGCCACCTCCCTCGCCGTCCCGCTCCCTCTCCCACCAGTCCCCGCCTCCGCCGGGGGGCCCACCCCGCCGGGCGTCCCCGCTTCAGGCGCCGCGCAGCAGCAGCAGCCGCCCCCGCTCGCGGAGCTGGAGCGCGTGCGCCGCGTCGGCAGCGGCGCCGGCGGGACGGTGTGGATGGTGCGTCACCGCGGGACGGGGCGGCCCTACGTACGCGCTCAAGGTGCTCTACGGCAAGAGGGGGAGGGGGCGCTCGCCCAGGGCCGCCTCCAGGGGGCGCGCTCGCCGTAGGGCCGCCGGCCGAGGAAGGGGTCGCGGATGGTCGCGGATGGCGGCGCTCGGTGGCGCGGCTCCGGCGATGCTTGGCCCCAGCGGCGTCCGGCTCCGGCAAGATGAGGCGACGGGAGCTTTCCTCGTTTGCGTCGGCTGTTGGATTTTTTGGGTCCGTGCCCCTTCACTGTGCGGTAGCCAAAGCATGGTATGCCTGTCGTTTTTGGGTACGATCCGTTGGAGACAGTCTAATTTGGAATAATTGCCTCTCGGTGTCTGAACTTGCACACACCGCAGAAACAATTAAACACTTGCACGCTTCTGCAGTTCCAATGCTTGCAGTGGTTTGAAACCTTTGTGTGACTGTCTGAAATTATGCAGAGAAGGCAGGAAAGAGCTAAAAGGATGGAGGAAAGGAAGGTCTATCTGCAACTGTACGAAGCCATGGAGGCGCTTGTCCACATATGCCGAGACGGATGCAGGACGATCGGGCCTCGAGATCAAGCGCTCAAGGGCAGTCTAGCAGCTGCCTGCAAGTTTCCGGCCTGCAAGGGCATCGAGCTGCTCGTGCGCCACTTCTCGACCTGCAGAGTTCGGGTGCCTGGTGGCTGTGCCAACTGCAAGCGGATGTGGCAGCTCCTTGAGCTGCATTCCCGCATGTGTTTCACCCCGGACACCTGCAAGGTTCCTCTCTGCAGGTGAGCGCAGCGCATCTTTTGTTATTCTGTTTGGTTCTACCAAACAGTAGCAATTTTACCAAAGAGAAACTGGCGAGAGAATGTACTAACATTTCTTGCTTTCATATAACAAGAACACATGTTTTATAGCAATTTTTTACAATTTGCAGGCATTTTAAGGAGAAAATGCGGAATCTGGGGAGGAAGGAAGAGACCAAATGGAACCTTTTGGTGTGCAAGGTGCTGGGGAGCAGAGGAACCATGGGTTTTATGCCTGAAAGGAGAAAAAATTCATCAATCCTAACATCAGCTGGGAGTTGCCACGTGGGTCGACTTGCAGGACCTATGTGAAACACCGAAAGTTCGCACGAGTTTTATGTTAGACGGGAAGGGAACCAGGACCAGGAGGAGCCGGAATCAAAACGTCAGAACATCCTTATAAAAAAAACGTCAGAACAGTTGTTGGGTTGCGTGATATCTATTTTCACCATCCATCTATAGTTCAAGTAAATTTTTTACCACCATACTATTAGTATTGAATTTTTTTTGGCCATCTAGCTAGTTTCAAACGGTGGTTTTATAGTTTCTAAAAATGATAAACATTAGTTTATTTAAAAAAATATAACTAATTTATTTTAAATAAAAAATTATGGAACCGGTACAAAGCACATTTTCAAGAATATAATATGTCTATTGGTGCTAGATTAGAGTTCTTTATATCTTATCTTGTAGTTGTTCCTAATGCTTTGTTGCTTATAACTTTGCCCGTTACTAATTTGGATTATCATTTTGTGCAACATTAAAGTTAGAGATAGACTAAGAGAATACATACTTAAAATAGACTACCAAATATGTTCGATTAAATTAAATAAATTATTTTTGGACTACTAGCGATGTCATACTAGTTGCAACGGCTAAATATGATCAATATGTGGTGGAGAATGGCATCTGTGAGGTTGGTATTGTCTTTTAGATCTTTTGTTTACTCATAGTATGTTATGGATTCTCTTGGTAAAAAAGCCACAACTAGAAGAAGTCATGAAAATGAGAGGATAGGTGTGAGGAAGTAAAGCAAACCAATGTACATAGTACGGGAGAGGTTCCTATCATCGTTGAGGTGGCAGATCTAGCTGTCCACCAAACATAGGATGTGTGCGGAGGTAGTAGCCTTTAGAATTGTGGTGGACAACGCATGAGCAAGTTAGGGTGGAGGGGCATAGGGCAGCATAGAAGTTAGAGCAACAAGGATGAAGAGAAGAGGAGAAGAAAAGAGAGGTGTTGAGCGAAACCGAGAGATGCGGGAAGGATGGTGGCATGATGTTGAGAGGCCAATGCAGGAAGAGGCAAAAGAGGGACAAACAAAGAACAATGGTACGGATGGCCGATGAATGAGGTGAATGCAAATTTTTAGGGCATATAAATGAATTCATGTTTTTAGGAGACAGGCAATGGAGCGATGTTCGATAAAAGCAGTCATTTATATTAGTACTCCAGCTGCAACACTACAACACTACTACATTCAGACCTTTCACAGCCACGTCGTAACCCCTATCGCAATCCAATTTTGGCATCGGCAGTAAGCTGTCAACAGTGATGGTCATAGCCTTCACCGTCGGCATCTGAGACCAACTGTGGTGTACACTAACAACGCCATATTGGCTTATGCTTCGTCCGTGATAAGGTCCTTACTTCTGTCGCACTGGAGCATGACCCCGCTGTGGATATACACTAACACCGCCGCATTGGCAAATTATCCGCCTGTGTTGAGGCTATCAAAACCGTCATGTGGGTACATCAACCGCATGTGTAGTGGTCACCAGCACCGTCGCCTTGTACTGTCTGCAGTGTGGGTTTGCTGTCGCTTTGACGGCCGAGACGTCTGTGTAGAGGTTAACACCACCGTCGCTTCAGCGTATGAACCACCAGTACAAAGGTCATGGTCACCGTTGCCTTGCACCATGATCCGCCTTTGATGATCGTTTACTCGATGTCGAGTTACTAAACGATTCGGCGGTAATATACTTTTGATCCCTGTCGCATCATACTGTTAGAGATATGGGCCAGGGGTACCTGCACCGCCCGTATATCTGATCACCACCAAGCTACCGCCCCAACAGCTGTCAAGGGGAGGCCCGCAAGGTCTAACGTGGTCGACCAACATGGAGATCAAGGCAAACCAAGACTGGCATATCTGGACAATAGCTGGGATCAATCTGTTGTAACAAACTAGGAACACAATCTGTTAGCTAGATCGCCCTCTCTGTAACCCTACCTCTCCTGCCTATATAAAGGAGGGTAGGGACCTCGGGCACGAGATCCATCTTTCCATCATTCCAATCTACTCGTAGCTAGGAGCAACAACCTCTGTAATTAAGCATACGAATACAAGAGCAGCCACACCACTAGAGTAGGGTTTAGCGTGCACCACGCCCCGAACCAGTATAAATCTCTGTGCCCCGTGTGCTACCATCAGATTCCGTCTATGCGATCACGTTGCTTGCATTGTCGGAGTAAAACAATCTGACAGTTGGCGCGCCAGGTAGGGGTCCTTTCGCATTTAGATTTGTTTTTGTGTTTTGGATTGCTATTCTCTGCAGGTCGAGTGAGGGTGCAACCAAGAGGCGATCGAAGAAGTACAGCCATGGCGTCACCACCACCGCGTGATTGAGAGTTCCACAACGTGGTGACCTCAAGACCCACGCACCTACTTTGATGTCATCATCACCCAATCAGCTCTACCTCGTCGAACTCGAGGACGCGATCGCTGTAGGACCGCTTCAGTTAGCACGTCACGTAAGTCGCTACGCTGGATCTACCTTTTCTTAGTTCTATCAGGAGTACCTCCTCGACACCACACGCATGATCTGGTGGGAATCACACCTCTCAGATCATACACTACCATCGTCATCGCTGGACAACGCTTTGCCTAGATTCTTTGACAGGCTTAAGAGTGCCGTAATGGCATGCGCCTAGGAACTCTCCCCGGCACCCGTGATTAACCCTAACAGGGTCAGAACACCCCGGATAGTGAAGAAAAATCACAGGACCAATTGGCTGAGCGTCAGGCGAAGCCAAAAGCCGAGTTATCGGGTGAATCTTGGCTACGCCATGAACTTTCCATGCTCGAACCACAGATACCTGGTGGTTCATCTCGCCGAAGATTGCAAGATGTGCCGTGTGACGGCCGCCACGATGGCTCTCTCATGGAACACCCTGCGAGGGGGCGATCGGCGGCGTAAGAGACACTCGAAACAAACCCTCAAACGAGTGATGACCATTTGTGCCCATACTAGGACCCGACCAGATTTAGGACATACACCTACCGTTCGGGAGGCTCGCGTCGCGGTACCCGCGGCAGCGACTAGGCTATCCCTGGTCAGAGCACCCGATCACTTTCGACAAAAGTGACCAACCCGAACACTCGGTGGACATCGACAGGTTCCCCCTCGTCGTTAGCGCAGTCCTCGAGACTGTCCTTTCCACTAAGGTCTTCATGGATGGAGGAAGTGACTCCAATCTTATATATTGGGACACTTTTGAAAAACTAAAGATCGTCATGGACAAATTGCACCCGCCGAGGGGCCCGATCACCGAAATAGTGCCAGGGAGACAGGTGATGCCTCTCGACATCATAGATCTACGGGTTACGTTCGGCGAGGTGGCGAACTTTTGCTAGGAGATACTCTCCTTCGAGGTTGTGGATTTCCAAGACACGTATCATGCCGTCCTTGGCATACCGTGCTTCGTCAAATTCATGGATGTGCCTCACTATGCGTACCTAAAGATGAAGATGCCGGGTCCAAACGGTATCATCATGATCTCAAGAGATCTTCAAAATGCCTATCAGTGCGATCTACTCGCTATCGAGAACGCGGTCCGAAACTCGGATTCGGCGTAGCGCGAGCTGGACTACGTCCTCATGCAAGGGTAGGGCCCGGGGGCTCCGATGCTAGCGCTATCGTGTCTCGATTTCCAATGTACACCTCCCATGGAAAGGAGGCTGTCACCAGCCCAGTTCACGGCGTCGGAACCAACCGTGGCCCCATCATTTACGCCTAAGGAAGATTCGAGGAAGGTACGCTTGGAAAAAAACTGACCCGAGCAAAACCACGAACATCGGGAGGAGCCTGAACTAGGCACAACAAGATGAACTTGTCAAATTCCTGATTAACAATCAGGACATATTCGCCTAGAGGCCCTCAGACATGCTAGGAATCCTGAGGGAGATCACCGAGCATTCTGTGAGAATCTGGGCCGACACCAAGCCGGTCAAGCAACGCTTGAGATGGTTTGATGATGAGAGGCACAGGGCTATAGAGGAAGAGATAGCCAAGTTCCTCGACGCAGGTTTCATTAGGGAGGTTCTACATCCAGACTGTCTTGCAAACCCTGTCTTGGTGCCCAAAAAGAACAAGTGGAGAATGTGTGTTGACTATACAAGCCTTAACAAGGCATGTCCGAAGGATCCTTATCCCTTGCCCCATATAGATCAAAACATCGACTCCACCACAGGATCAGAACTACTCTGCTTCATCGACGCTTATTCCGGGTATCATTAGATCCGGATGAAAGAGTCTGATCAACTAGCTACTTCGTCCATCACCCCGATTGGGGTATACTGCTATGTCACCATTCCATTCGGGTTGAAGAACGCAAGGGCTACCTACTAGCGTTGCATGAAGCATTGTCTCCACGAGTAAATCAACAAAAACACCGAAGCTTACGTCGATGACATCGTCGTAAAATCATCAAAGGCTAGGAACCTGATTCAAGATCTTTTAGAAACCTTCAATAACCTCCAAAAGTTCAAGATCAAGCTCAACCCAGAAAAGTGTACCTTTGGGGTACCATCCGATAAATTTCTTGGTTATATCGTATCGGCTCGCGGGATTGAGACCAATCCCATGAAGGTCAAAGCCATCCTTGATATGGGACCTCCTCGAGCGCTAAGGGACTCCCAGAAACTCATGGGATGCCAGGCTTCCTTAAGCCGGTTCATCTCTAGACTGGGTGAGAAGGGACTCCCCCTCTACAAGCTCTTACGCAAGATGCTAGACTGGCGATGGACCCTAGAGGCTCAAAAAGCTTTCAACGACATCAAGGACTTCCTCACCAAACCTCCTATTCTAGTGGCTCCTCATGAAGAAGAGCCTCTACTCCTATACGTCATGGCTACCACCCCGGTGGTCAGCGTGGCAATAGTTGTAGAGAGACAGGAAGAAGGCCACATTCAGGCCATCTAGCGGCCGGTATATTTCCTTAGTCAAATACTGGTCGAGAGCAAAACTCGCTACCCGCACATCCAAAAGATACTCTATGGGGTGTACCTGGCAAAGAAGAAGCTGGTTCAC